CCCCCCCCCACCCCCGACTCATGCCTTCGCATGCCTGCTGCCCGCTGCTACCCCTGCAGACAACGTCAAGGCCTACTTCAAGCGGGGCAAGGCGCACGCGGCCGTGTGGAATGCCCAGGAGGCCCAGGCTGACTTTGCCAAGGTGCTGGAGCTGGACCCCGCCCTGGCGCCCATCGTGAGCCGTGAGCTTCGGGCCCTGGAGGCACGCATCCGGCAGAAGGACGAAGAGGACAAGGCTCGCTTCCGGGGCATCTTCTCCCACTGATGGGGCTCTGCCGGCCCTGCCTGCCCTGCGTTGCCCCCTGCTGCTGCCGCCAGCGCCCCTGCCCCCGCTCCGTCATGCTTCTCTGTATATAAAGGCCGTATTTATCTCTCCCTGGTCCTGCCGGGCTGATTCCATTGCGAGAGAGAATTTCCTGGTACTCGGGTGGTCTTGGGAGGCAAAGGATCGGGGTCCTCCCTCTCTGGGCCTCAGTGTCCCCAACAGAGATAAGGAGGAGGGTCTCTGTCACAAAGGAAGTGTGTTTTGCTGGCCACGTGCCAGCTGAGGTTCCTGGGAGCCTTCAGTCTTCAGGGGGAGACAAAGGCACAGCCAGGGGGCTCCGAGTGAGACGGTCCCCCAGTGCAGCTCTCCCCTTCAGCCTCTGGTCCCGTGGCCTCACGGCCCCCGCTTCGGGAGGCAGAGGATTCAGTCGGAAGCCGAGTCTGGGCCCCTGCGAACTGAAAGGCCGGCCCAGGTCTGGAGGGCTGGATGAGGTGGGAGCACTATTCAGGAGGAGGCCTCAGGTAGGGAGGACACAGCCCTCCATGAGACCTCCAAGGCCCAGGCCCCCATCCTGGCCTTGGCTCTAACCTGTGTGACCCTAGTCACATCCCGGCCCCTCTGCTCTTCAGTGTCCCCATCAAACTGGAAACTGGGCTCGGTTGCCCTGTGGTACCAGACAGGTGGGCAGTCAGGTGGGATGCAGGTGGTTTATTTTCATGGATTCACACACACTGGAAAAACCTCTGGGCCGCATCCTCCTCCCCCCCGC